TTAGCAGCTATAATGTCTCTTAGCCGACGTTCCATACTATAAACCAATGATTTTGTAAAACTACACTCAATGGAGTTCCATATTTCTGTAATTTTATTTTTCAGTGTTTGCTTTGATGTTATTTGAAATTTATTTAATCTTTTTTCTATTTTAGCCCATAAATTTTACGTCTGGACTTTGCGGTGGAGTAATTAACATGTGTGGTGTGTTATATACGATCCATTCTTTTACAATTCTAGCAGTATGCTTCGGATCATTATCTTGTTGAAAATCTTCCAATAATCCTAGTTTACTGGCACTTTCTGTAAAATTATTCTTTAAAATATTTAACTACTTATATTTATCAAGTATTCTCCGTCAATAAATATTAAATTTACGGTGCCATTGGCAGCCATACACCCCCATACTATGACCGACCCACCTCCGTGTTTCATTGTTTGATGTAAACGTTGAATTTCCAATTCTGTATTTGGTTTCCTCCACAGATAATTTTGACCATCTGAGCCAAAAATATTAAACTTTGACTCGTCCGAAAAGATGACTTTATCCCAGAAAGTATTATCTTTATTAATGTAGGTTTTCGCGAAAGTCAATCTTTTGTTACGATTTACTGCATTAATATATGGCTTCTTTCACGGTACTCTGCCATGAAAATCATTGTTTCGTAAGATTCGTCGACATAATTCCGGGTGAACTTCTTTACGAAACATATCAGCTACCATATTTGCGTGTTGAGGAGCGGATATAGTAGAATTCTTTTTTAATTCGCGAATGATAACTTTCTCCTCGTTCCCAGTCAATTTTTTTAGTCCACCTGATCGAGCTTTGTTTACAAGTGTTCCCTCATTCTTTAACTTTTTTATGATATAATGTATTATAGACTTACTTCTGTTCACAATCCCGGCAATCTCGTTATACAATTTGCCGTCCTCGTGCAATCGTAATATTATTTCTCTTTCACACTTTTTGGTGCTCATTTTAAATACTATTGTGCACATTTTTACGTTACTGTTACTGAAACGATATCCTAACATCAAGTGAACGTACCAATATTTTCATTTAGCATTGATGTTCACATTCGGTGCAAAGGAAAATGAAAAACTATCAACAGTGTTACAGCGTTCGAATACTTTTGTGAGTCGCTTACCATGCGTGTTTCTAATAAATGTATCATAACTTCTACTTGCGTTGTTGAATCCTTTTCAAATTTTACTGGCATAATCTTAAGACTTCCATCTTCCTATTGGCATCTACTTGTTTCAGTAAATTACTTTAATGTACATTATTTCGGCCATTGAAGTTTGCATATGTAAGCGTTCGAATACTTTCGTGAGCCACTGTATTTCGATTCCCCGTTGGAAGGTTTGCTCGTGGAACGAATATTTTTCGAACGAATTAAAAGAAAACTTTCTTACCAAATCGCCAGTATCGATCGAACGCGTGAATACCAATAGAAATCCGTTCAATTGTTTTCATCGTTTACGAACGTAACGAAAATCATATTCCGAATGAAATATTCCGGTATTCGGACGTGTAATTAGATTGAAATCGCCCCCCCTCCTCCTCCCCAGACTTTTAACTGATTTTCAAATAATAATCGAGCTGTCGATTACAAAATTTTCATTCTCGTTTCGAAGAATAAAGTCCCGAAGGTCCGAAGGGAATATATAATTAGTCAATTGTGCGTTAAACGCACGGCGAAACGCGGAATTTCTCGCGTTCCCTCGATAATAATTTCCCTGTATTTAATTTGTGTAAATTTTCGACGCGCCACGGTCACGATAACAAATACATTAAACCAACATTATCAGATCACCGCGAAAACTCTGCTGTTTAATGAACGCAAGTGGTGAATTCGATTCTCGGCATCTTGCTTTAATGATTAATATACTGTTGCATTTTTCTTTCCACAAAAATTATGCCAAATCATTTAAAATTTCTATACATGCATATAACGTCTCTATTTTTAATGTGGAACAAAAATTTTTCATAGATTTTTTATTGAAAAAATTGCTTGATCTGGATGAATCATTACTGTGAATTTTTTTTATTAAAATTGATTTTCTTTGCCAGTAAAATTATGAAAATTTACCTCTATTATGAAGGTAATTTTGTTTGTTTTTAATTAATGTAAAAGATAGAAAATAATCATTTTTTCTCATGTTGTGTAATTTTCAAATAATAGTGGATTTTCTGATTGATACAGTTGGCTCAGTTAATTCCACTGTTATTATAAACATTTGCACTTTTTTTTTGTCTAGATAAATGGGAATACTTGTAATAATTTTAATTAATAAATTGAAGGAATAAGTAATAATATAATGCAGATTATATTACTAAAAATGAAATACTTAAAGGAAGTATAAAATGCAAAGAATAAAATTAGTGTAAAATAGCATTAAATATATCATTTTTTGTATTTAGCTTGTTTTTGGGAAAAATATAATTGTACCACTTTCTCAATGAGCTTCTCAATTGTAAATAAACACTTAACTAACTCTTTAGTGTATCATCATAACTAAAAGTTGCATAAAAGAAGTGATCAGAATCGAGTTTTCAATTTTTTAAATTTTATATTATCCACCTATTAAAATTCTAACAATTAAACATTGTAACATTGTGTCATTTTGTAGTTTCAAATTGATTTTTATGAATACAACTGATTGTTCATTATTGACATTCATTTTACTAATTTTGTTGCAATTATTGTCACATAAATTATTTTTATATGTCTTGTATTTGAATTATTTAACAATCGTCAGTTTTATCAGTAAGAATTACAAGAATTTTTAACACAAGTTTGAACAAAATTAATATAACAATCTATAAATTATAGAAACAATCATTACAATTGTTTTTGTTTGTTCAAGTTTGAGCAAAGTTATCAAAAAAATCTGCAAGTTAAAAAAACATTCATTATAATTGTTCTTGTTTCTTTGAATCAGAATCAATATAAAAATTTGTAAATTACAAAAATTGATCACAATTGGTCTTGAATGTTCAAGATTGAACAAAATTAATATAAAAATTTTCAAATTAGAAAACATTCATCATAATTGTGATAAATGTTTCAGCAAAATCAATATAAAAATCAGCAAGTTACGACAAGATTGATCACAATTGGTCTTGTATGTTCAAGATTGAACAAAGCAGTATAAAAATTTGCAAATTAGAAAACACTCATCATAATTGTGATGAATGTTTGAAGAAAATCAATATAAAAATCAGCAAGTTACGACAACATTGATCACAATTGGTCTGGTATGTTCAAAATTGAACAAAATTAATATAAAAATTTGCAAATTAGAAAACATTCTTCATAATTGTGATGAATGTTTGAACAAAATCAATATAGAAATCAGCAAGTTACAAAAATTTGTCACAATTGGTCTTGAATGTTCAAGATTGAACAAAATTAGTATAAATATTTGTGAAATTAGAAAACATTCATCATAATTGTGATGGATGTGAACAAAATCAATATAAAAATTTTGCAAATTAGAAAACATTCATCATAATTGTGACTTGAATAAAATCAATATAAAAATTTTGCGAATTAGAAAACATTCATCATAATTGTGAACAAAATCAATATAAAAATTGTGCAAATTAGAAAACCTTCATCATAATTGTGATGAATGTTTCAACAAAATCAATATACAAATTTGTAAGTCACAAAAATTAATCACAATTGGTCTTGAATGTTCAAAATTGAACAAAATTAATATAAAAATTTGCAAATTAGAAAACATTCATCATAATTGTGACGAATGTTTGAACAAAATCAATATAAAAATCAGCAAGTTACAAAAACATTGATCACAATTGCAGCTTTAGATCTGGAAGTACTCCTACATTTTTGGAATTCTTAAATCGGTGATAATAATTGAAGGGTTGTCACAATTTGGGGTAGTTCAATATACAATTAATAATCAATATAAAAATCGGCAAGTTAAAAAAACATTCATTATAATTCCGGTTGTTTGTTTGAACAAAATCAATATAAAAATCAGTAAGTTACAAAAACACTCATCACAATTGGTCTTGTATGGTTAAGATTGAACAAAATCAGTATAAAATTTTCAAATTAGAAAATATTCATCATAATTGTGATGACAAAATCAATATAAAAATTGTGCAAATTAGAAAACATGCATCATAATTGTGATGAATATTTCAACAAAATCTATATACAAATCTGCAAGTTAAAAAAACATTCATCATAATTTTGGTTGTTTGTTTGAACAAAAACAATATACAAGTCTGTAAGTTACGAAAACAATGATCACAATTTCATCTTTAGATCTGGAAGCACCGTTACATTTTACTAATTCTTCAATCGGTGTTAATAATTGAAGAGTTGTCACGATTTAGGGTAGTTCAATATAAAAATAACAATCAATAATAATCAATATAAAAATTTGCAAATTAGAAAACATTCATCATAATTGTGATGAATGTTTCAACAAAATCAATATAAAAATCAGCAAGTTACAAAAACATTGATCACAATTTCAGCTTTATATCTGCAAGTACTCTTACATTTTAGTAATTCTTAAATTGATGTTAATAATTGAAGAATTGAAGGGTTGTCACGATTTAGGGTAGTCCAATATAAAAATAACAATCAATAATAATCAATATAAAAATTTGTAAATTAGAAAACATTCATTATAATTCTGGTTGTTTGTTTGAACAAAAACAATATAGAAATTTGTGAGTTACAAAAACATTGATCACAATTTTAACTTTACATCTGCAAGTAGGTACTCTTCCATTTTAGCTGCCTTAAATCGGTGTTAACAATTGAAGGGTTGTCACGATTTAGGGTAGTTAACCCCTGCACGCCAGGAAACTGATTCCAGTAACTCTGACGTTCGTATTTGCTGTCGACCGCTGCATTTCGAGCGTGTGAACTCTTTTCACTATTAATCCACCGTGTATGCGGTAGGATCGTTAAAAACAACCGCGGTAAAATTCACCGTGCATAAAATATTCAGATTCGAGGCACCAGGGGCGAGCACACCGAGAGCGAAGGAGGGGTGTACGATATCAGCAACAAACGACGGCTGGGTCTGACCGAACGAGAAGTGGTATTCGAGATGAGAAACGGCGTGCTCGAGTTGATCAAACAGGAGAAACAACTGGAAGAAAGCGAGTCGTAATGCCCGGGTGTCGGGGGCGAAGTGTTCGTAACGTCCGCGGGGCAAAACGTTTCATCGATTATATCAGATTCAATGCCATTGTTCTTGTAATTCTTGCGAATCGAAACGTCTGAAAGTTTATCGATTAATGTTTCTGTGCGCCGTCAACATGTTGCCGTTACGAGGCCAGAGAGAACGCGGGTTGTTTCGAAGCGCAGTTATCGACAAGTTAAACCGATGCTCATTCATTCCGATGCTCGAAACATCCACCACATTTTCTCCCTCGAACTCGGACCAAAGAAATATCAATTTGTTATCGTTCCATGGATATTGTTGTTACGGAGTTTAACGGTGTTTCAATGTTTGTTGTAATATGAATTTCGCGGCCATTGTTACGTGTACGAAATTATTCAACGAATAAATATACTCGTTATAATTATTAAAGTAAACAGGCAATTTTGATTTTCGGAAGCTTTATTGTTATTCTTTGTACCCAAATAACCCTCTTTAAGTTACTGTGGGGTAAATTTACACAGAAATATCATTTTGTTTATTTTATGTATAGGGGAGCTGATAAAAAGAATAAAATATTCGAAAATTCCACTTTTAAAAATTATTATAAATAGGAATATCGAAGTACTGGTGATTGCCCAACATTTTTCGATAATAAAGTCACATTTTAATAGGAATGAGAGTTAGGGGTGGTAAATGTCTCAAAAATATTTTCTTTCTATTTTCATTTATTCACTTTGATATAAATAAAAAGTAAATATATTTAGGTAGAAAATCGTCAAACACTGTGTCTAATGTTATAATTATTAAATTTTTTTATATAAACATTCTTTCTGTGTTTTACTCCGAACGAAGGTCTAATTTCGCGTCTTCAAAGAGCTTGGACGCAGTCTTGGCTTCAAACGAAACGCCGCAAATGAGACAGAGACGATTTTGAAACCCGTAGGGTCGCGTATGAGCGATGTTTTCTCCGCCCAGGTAAGTCGCTAGCGTAACTCGATGCAGAGTACATCGGATGTGGATGACACGGCAGAGACAACGCGATCCAGAGCTCGTCAGACGACACCGGAACCGTAACAACTGGCACAGATGACGCCAAATACGCGGGACTTGTTCTCTTAGAGGCGACTTGAGGGATTATTTCCGCGCAACAGGAACTAAATCGAGACGACATGCGATGCAAACAACAGCAAACTTGTGATACGCGACGCAGATAATAGCGGATTCGCGTGATCTGACAGTAATACTAAACTAGAGTACTCGAAACTGGGTAGGATCCAATAACTTGGGTTAGGTTGTAAAACAACTTTGTTTCCCTGAACCTTTTGGCCCCGTTCGGTACGCATACTCTATGTACATTCTGCATTTTTCATTTTTATTCGGTAAATAAAATCGTTCGACAAAATGGAAGCACCGAAATAGAAAAAACAAGTGACGTTGAGCGTTCCAGGTGATTTGATATAGCGAGGTTCGAATAAACGATAGTCTATATCGGTAATTACCGATTCTGATACTAATTCGATATAGACGACACGAAACAGTGAGATTTGATACGTGTCAGGTTGATTTGACGCGAACGATCCGAGACGCGTGTTATCTACGCGCTTGTGCAAGCCTGTCTGCGTTTAAATGCGATTATCAGCGGCAATGATCGTGTTCATGTACATCTGCGTTTGATCGTAAATGACAACAATCGCATTTGCGGTTTGTTCCGTATTTATCAGCGACGATAATGACGTTTGCGTATGCTGTGCATGATTATAAGTGGCAATAATCGCGTTTGGCTGGGTTTGTATGGGATTACAAGCGACTGTAATTGCGCTCGTGTGTGTCTGTAAACGATTACATGCGTTTGAATGCAATTCTGAGTGAGAATAATCGCGTTTAAATGTTTGTTTGTGATTATCCGTGGCGATAATGATGTTTTCGTAAGTCTGTGCATGATTATAAATGGCGGTAGTCGCGTTTGACTGTGGTTGAGTGAGACTAACAGCGCCCAATAGTCGTGTTCAGGTACTATGTGCCCACGAGAAGAAGGCACAGCGTGTTTACATCCCCACTTTTGCTGCAGTCCGCTGATTGGCTGTCACTGATCTTCGTCACAGTTTTCGACCAATACCTGTGAGTCAGCAGACTGCAACTGGAGTGGGGATGTAAACACGCTGTGCCTTCTTCTCGTGGAAGAATGATACGTTTGTGTTTGATTGTGGATGACATGATTCTATGGGTTTCGAAGGCTCCCAAAATGCAAATGTCTTTTCGTAGTTTGGGAGATTCAGAAAAAATTCCCGAGATTGTAAAGAGTTTCAGCCGTTTTAGGGGATCTTAACACCTTCGATGGGTTCGGGAGTTTCCCGGATCTAGGGGGATTCTAGTGATTTTGAGGGGTTCCAGGAGTATTAAGAGGTTTCGTTGGCTCCCAAAATGCAAATGTCTTCTCCTAGTTTGGGAGATTCAGGTAACTCGAAAAATTCCCAAGATTGTAGAGAGTTTCATCCATTTTTGGGGATCTTGACACCTTCGATGGGTTCGGGAGTTACCCTGATCTTGGGGAATTCTAGTAATTTTGGGGGTTCCGGGAGTATTAAGAGGTTTCGTTGGCTCCCAAAATGCAAGTGTCTTCTCCTAGTTTGGGAGATCCAGTGTATCTCAGAAAATTCCCAAGATTGTAGAGAGTTTCAGCAGTTTTTGGGGATCTTGACATCTTCGATGGGGTCGGGAGTTTCTCGGATCTTGGGGGATCCTAGTGATTTTGGGGGTTCCGGGAGTATTAAGAGGTTTCGAAGGCTCCCAAAATGCAAGTGTCTTCTCCTAGTTTGGGAGATCCAGTGTATCTCAGAAAATTCCCAAGATTGTAGAGAGTTTCATCAGTTTTTGGGGAACTCGACACCTTCGATGGGTTCGGGAGTTTCCCGGATCTTGGGGGATTCTAGTGATTTTGGGGGTTCCGGGAGTATTAAGAGGTTTCGAAGGCTCCCAAAATGCAAGTGTCTTTTCCTAGTTTGGGAGATCCAGTGTATCTCAGAAAATTCCCAAGATTGTAGAGAGTTTCATCAGTTTTTGGGGAACTCGACACCTTCGATGGGTTCGGGAGTTTCCCGGATCTTGGGGGATTCTAGTGATTTTGGGGAATCCGGGAGTATTCAGAGGTTTCGAAGGCTCCCAAAATGCAAGTGTCTTCTCCTAGTTTGGGAGATCCAGTGTATCTCAGAAAATTCCCAAGATTGTAGAGAGTTTCATCAGTTTTTGGGGAACTCGACACCTTCGATGGGTTCGGGAGTTTCCCGGATCTTGGGGGATTCTAGTGATTTTGGGGGTTCCGGGAGTATTAAGAGGTTTCGAAGGCTCCCAAAATGCAAATGTCTTTTCCTAGTTTGGGAGGTTCAGAAGAAATTCCCAAGATTGTAGAGAGTTTCAGCCGTTTTTGGGGATCTTGACACCTTCGATGGGTTCGAAACTATCCCGGATCTTGGAGGATTCTAGTGATTTTGGGGGTTCCTGGAGTATTAAGAGGTTTCGATAATTTCGACGATTTTAGGGTCATTGCTGGTTTCAATGGACTCGAGTGCACGAGGAAACTCGGGAGCTTCCAGCGGATTTAGACATTCCAAGAGGGTCCTAGAAGGTTCAGGGACTTAGAGAATTGCACTTGGTGTCGTAGCGTTTGTTCCTGGTACTTGTCGTGTCATGTCCTAGAGTTGGAATCTTTACTTGCACTGACCTCGATTTCTAGCCATTTAGTGGTTTAGAATTATCCGTATCGAGTCCTGTTCGCGATCGTAATTGTTAACCCTTTGTAGCTTGAAACACTTCTAATACTTCGTTTCAATAAGTCCACGCAAAATTTAACTACTTTTATTTATTCCTTAAGTCTTACTTAAGACGTGAATATATATGAATAATTACAAATAGTTTAGATTTAGTGTCATTATTATGTATGTTTACGTTAACTTCGTTCGAAGTCAGGTTTAATATACATTTTCTATATTCGTCGTCGTATCGAATTATCGATAATGTTTCAATATTATCGATAGCAGCGTCTAGTCTAAGGCGGTCTGTGCTCAATTTTGCGAATTAGGGGTGATCGATATCGCGTCCAAAGAGTCTCACGATTCCATATCATGTTCTACGGAGTTTGTGGATGACTGTAACGAATCTGACTATTCCACGATTTTCGGTATTGGAGCCTGATGAGTCAGCACTCTCATGAAATTGGGATTTTCAGTATCAAGTTACACGAGTGATCCGACCAGCAGTGTAGTATGTCGCATATAGTCCAGAAACAAGATTTATTGACATTGATCATGATAAAGAGTTTCATATTTGTCGACGTTCTTGACCCTAATCCAACCAGGTCGTAACTTTGGGTAACGAAGCTTTTGTAGAGCTTGTAAGTATTATAAATCCATTAATGAGAGTTTTTGTATAATATTTAACAACTTAATAACGCGTGAAATCTCATGAATTTTCGAACGACTGATTCTGAGTCACTTGGAACTTGTAGGAAAATGGCTGTCTGTTTAAAAGTTGACTTCGAATGCTAGGTGCAGTAGTACGAACGAAATAGAGCCAAACACAGCAAGTAGAAATATCGAGCAATGGTCAGACGCGTCAGAAAATGAAAAATTTCCAAATTCAATTATCTTGGAATCAAAACATTAAACACTACAATTTTACACTAATGCACGTTTAACTTTGGTAAGATTCGAGATCCAATAGTGCAAATTACATGTCCAGAGTAGCCTACTTTTTATAGAATTGAAAAGTGCCGCTATGGTAAAAAAAAATAATTACACGACATACAAAATTTTATTCTTCGTAGTTTTCTCCAGATTTTTCTCATTAAAATGTGTCGTCAGAAATATTTTTCTCTAAAGTGAATGATGAAAAATTCATTGTACGTATATTACAAGAAAAGTCATGAAGTTAAATGGCGCTAAAATAAAATAACATTGTACATTACAAATTCTAAACGAAATTTTGGAAACAGTAATTTGACCGATCGTGGTAGTTTTACTGTTTAAAAAACCAGTATCTTGCAAAATTAAATAGAAAAATATAATTTGCCTTGTTTAAAAAAAAGCAGAATCTTACAAAACTAAATGCAAAATACGTTTTCTGCTTTAAGAAACAGAAGCAATCGTTTCACTGCCGCAAAATATTTTTCAACGATATTAATTACCATGTGAATCCTGATCATTCTTTTAATATCGACTTCATAGTTATATTCGAAGCAGAATACGGATCGTAAGAGTAGCAATTCCAGTTATATTATATAGAACGGTTGATTGCCGCTTGCGTTCCATTCGGAAGTTTCCTTTAACCGCTGTAACCTCCATGGTGTATTCTTCTTTTCTTTTATCCGCAGTTTGAAAGAGAAGAAACCCCCCAGACCACGATCCCTTTCTTTTAACTTCTTTCTATTCCCGATACACCCTCGGACCTTGAGTTGGTCGACAACTTTCCTGTTATTTAACTCCGAGAAGTTGTTACTCCCGACATCGAAGGAATGCTGAGAACTTGTTTAAAGACGCGTGTGTACGTGTGTTTATAATAGCAATATCATACTTCGTTACTTTGAACATCATTATTGAACTTCACGAGAGAATAACTGTGGCAATCACACGATTTCTTGAGAATATTATGAATCGATGTTGAAGAATTTGATGTATGTTTATGTGTTTGTTTGTGTAATAACCATGTTTTGAACTTCACAAGAGAGCAACTGTGACAATCACACGATTTCTTGAGAATATTATGAATCGATGTTGAAGAATCTGGTGTGTGAGTAATAATAATAACATAATTCATTGCAATAGCCGTGTTTTGGACTTCACAAGAGAGCAACTGTGACGATCACACGATTTCTTGAGAATATTATGAATCGATGTTGAAGAATTTGATGTATGTTTATGTGTTTGTTTGTGTAATAACCATGTTTTGAAGTTCACAAGAGAATAACTGTGGCAATCACACGATTTCTCGAGAATATTATGAATCGATGTTGAAGAATCTGGTGTGTGTGTAATAATAATAAAATAATTCATTGCAATAACCATGTTTTGAACTTCACAAGAGAGCAACTGTGACGATCACACGATTTCTTGAGAATATTATGAATCGATGTTGAAGAATTTGATGTATGTTTATGTGTTTGTTTGTGTAATAACCATGTTTTGAACTTCACAAGAGAATAACTGTGACGATCAAACGATTTCTTGAGAATATTATGAATCGATGTTGAGGAATCTGGTGTGTGAGTAATAATAATAACATAATTCATTGCAATAGCCGTGTTTTGGACTTCACAAGAGAGCAACTGTGACGATCACACGATTTCTTGAGAATATTATGAATCGATGTTGAAGAATTTGATGTATGTTTATGTGTTTGTTTGTGTAATAACCATGTTTTGAACTTCACAAGAGAATTACTGTGACAATCACACCATTTCTTGAGAATATTATGAATCGATGTTGAAGAATCTGGTGTGTGAGTAATAATAATAACGTAATTCATTGCAATAGCCGTATTTTGGACTTCACAAGAGAGCAACTGTGACGATCACACGATTTCTTGAGAATATTATGAATCGATGTTGAAGAATCTGGTGTGTGAGTAATAATAATAACGTAATTCATTGCAATAGCCGTATTTTGGACTTCACAAGAGAGCAACTGTGACGATCACACGATTTCTTGAGAATATTATGAATCGATGTTGAAGAATTTGATGTATGTTTATGTGTTTGTTTGTGTAATAACCATGTTTTGAACTTCACAAGAGAATAACTGTGACAATCACACCATTTCTTGAGAATATTATGAATCGATGTTGAGGAATCTGGTGTGTGAGTAATAATAA